TTATTAGTATTATTATAAAGTTATTGTTGATACCATATTGTTTTTGTTGACCCTGCTTTTCCACTTACAGAGCTAGTTTACTGCTTTTCTTTGAAATAAGGTAAATATTCAAAAGCATTTCATCTACTGATGCTTCAATTAATATAATTTTATTGGTATCTATTTTTATTTTGAAATTGACCAGTAGCTGCTGCATTTCCCAACCTTGACTTAAACTCGAGTCAAGACGTTTTCCCAGGTTTTTTGGTGGTAAAATTAGGTACCTCGACTTATATTCAGGTCAGCTTATACTCGAGTATGTACAGTATTTTAAAATAGTGGCCAAACTCCGAAGGAAGCCTGTACAGAAAGCAAGCAACACATTGAAAAAATACCCTCAAAACATAAAGGTATAGAATAGAATAACAGAATCCTAAAGACCATCGAGTTCAATTCTGCCAGCACAATCAAATCCCTCCCGACAGATGGCCATCCAGCTGCTGTAGAAGAGAAAGAAATTAAATGATCCCACTTACGGCTTCTCTAAAAGAGGACCTGCCCAACAGAATGGTCCACAGTTCTCGGTTGCTCCTATGGAAAACAGAAAAACAGATCAACATTGTAAGAAAGCATGCGCCATCAAATAAGAAATCAATTCTTTTAAAAAAGGACGCTTGAATATCAATTTGGGTGAGGCAAAGAGAACAATAAAAAATATATTAGCAAAGCTTGAAAGGTCCAAAGTGTGCATGCCTCTTCGTAAATTCGTTGTCATCATAACCATCATTAGTTTCTGGTTGCCAGTCCAAGAAGTAGAGTGGGATCCTATAAATTTTACAGTTGTGTGTATGGATACTATATTTACATCCTATAGGGCTGCCATGTTAAAGAGCAGAGAAGGCTTCTGTACATTTAATGGCTGTACATATGGACTTTATATTTTTATAGATACACATAAACATACACCTCTAAACACACACATAAATACAATGCACAATTAATGCAGTGTAAGCTTGTCTTCGATGGTCGTGTGTGGTACACACACATATATAAATACATATTATTTATTTACTTACTTACGACATTTATATGCCACCCTTCTTACCCCAAAGAGGACTCAGAGAGGCTTACAAGTAAAATGTAAATACAATATATTACATTATTACCATAGCACAATATTAGTATTAAATATAACTATATTGTATTATACCATTATACTGTAATATTATTAGTAATACTACATGTAATATAAAACATACAATTATATCATAGTATTAGTAGTATTATTATATTGTATTACATTATAATATTGTTTATTTATTTATTTACGGCATTTATATGCTGCCCTTCTCACCCCGAAGGGGACTCAGAGCGGCTATCTATCTATCTATATACACATACACACACAAATATATTATATTATCAGCATAGAACAATATCAGTATTACATAATACTATATTGTAATATACCATTATATTGTAATATTATTAGTAATATTACATATAATATAAAATATATAATTATAATATTGTATTATTTTTATATTGTATTACACTATAATATTATAAATATTACATTAATATAAAATTATATTATAAGCAGGAGACAAGGTGGAACATGCGCACCTGGATTAACACAATGTATGATTACTGTATTAAATAGCAAAGAGGGCTCCCATGTTTTTAAATGGTTGCCTGTATGAACTCTGTGTATGTGTATATATATTTATCTACAATTCATGCAGTGTAAGGCTGTCATGTTGAAGAGAAACCCTGTGCCTTTTGTGGCTGTGTATATGAATGTTGTGTATGTATACACACACACACACACTCACACATGTATATGGTTTACACAATGCAAGGTTGTCATGTGTATGAACTTAATATATAATGTATCAAAGAGCAAAAAGGGCTGCTATGTCTTTAACGGCTGTGTGCATGCCAGTATATATTAGTTATATATGTTTGTTAGCTTCCACCTAGTTTGTTTACACAATGCACTTTCCCCAACCCCTAATGAAGCTCAAGCCCCACTGCTTCCCCGTCTTGGGCTCCTCCTTTATAAATACACTTTTTAAAATTTCTTATCTCACTCAAGGTTTTAACGTTTTAAACATTTTATCGCACACATTTGGCCCGCCCTTTGTGATTATGTTGTTTTGCATTTTCTATTTTATTTTGTTGTATTATGCATTTGTTGTGTTTAATTTTCTATCATTTTGTAAATTATTTTGTTGTATTATTTTTGGCTCGGCCTCATGTTAGCCGCCCCGGGTCTCCATTGGGGAGGTGGTGTTGGGGTATAAATAAAGATTACATTCCCCCCTATGGGAAAGTTTGGCTCCACGACCTCCACTATAATGAGCTCTCCTCCGCAAATAATCTGTCCTGTTTTATCTGCCTGAGTTTTTAATCTGTTTTAACCAGTTTTTTTCTTATCCATTACATGTAGCTTGCCCATGTTATTGTGATTGTGCTTATTGTAATTCTATATGGTTATGTTGTCATTTGTTTTATGTAATTGCGTTATTATTGTTCATTATTTGCGTTTTCGGTTTTATTTTATGTAATTGTTTTGGGCTTGACCTCATGTGAGCTGCACCGGTGGTCCACGCTCTGGTTACATCCCTGTTTAGACTACTGCAACGCTCTCTACGTGGGGTTGCCTCTGAAGACTGCCAGGAAGCTTCAATCAGTCCAACGAGCGGCAGCTAGATTGCTAACAAGAGCGGGGTAGAGAGATCATACGACCCCTCTGTTATGCCAGCTCCACTGGCTGCCGATTAGCTTCTGTGCACAATTCAAAGTGCTAGTTTTGACCTATAAAGCCCTAAACGACTCCGGCCCACTTTACCTGTCCAAACGTATTCTCCCCTATGAACCATCAAGGCTATTAAGATCATCGGGGGGGGGGGGGCTGCTCTCGGTCCCACCGCTCTCGCAATCACGGTTGGTGGGGGATGAGGGACAGGGCCTTCTTGGTGGTGGCTCCCCGGCTTTGGAACTCCCTCCCACTAGAGATTAGATCTGCTCCCTCCCTCCCGACTTTCAGGAAACTACTAAAGACCTGGCTCTGGAATGTGGCATTCGAGGACTGAATCTATAACCTCCGTCCACAAGGAAGGAGGATGATGAACTGTGACTATGATTATGACTATGACTGGATTGACGACTTGGCTTAGGTTAATTGTGATGATGATGTTTTTATCGTACTCTATTGTACTATTTTAATATGTAATGACGTTGCACTTTGTTGTACTTATATATTATTGTACTTGCATATATGCTGTAAACCGACCTGAGTCCCTCGCTGAGGTGAGAAGGCCAGTATAGAAAACTTCTAAATAAATAATAAACCACCTATCTCCATAAATGTCCATTGACACAACCCCCATGTGGCAACCAGACACAGTGAAGACATCTGCCCTTGCGCTATGCTACTCTGCTGCTGAGTACGCATGCCCAGTGTGGAACACATCTCACCACGCTAACACAGAAGATGTGGCTCTTAATGAGACATGCCGCATTATCACAGGGTGTCTGCGCCCTACACCACTGGAGAAATTACACTGCTTAGCCGGTATTGCACCACCTGACATCCGCCGGGAAGTAGCAGCCAATAGTGAAAGGACCAAGGCAGAGACATCTCCAGCTCATCCCGTTTGGGTATCAGCCAGCACGTCAACGACGTAAATCAAGACATAGTTTTCTTAGATCTACAGAGACACTTGCTGGAACACCTCAGCAAGCGAGAGTCCAAAAGTGGCAGGCTCAAACCCAGAACCTCAATCCATGGCTGATACCAAATGAGAGACTCCCTCTGGGCACACAGAAGACGGGGCGACTTGGAAGGCGCTGAACAGACTGCACTCTGGCACCATGAGATGCAGAGCTAATCTTAAGAAATGGGTCTACAGGGTGGAATCCCCAGCATGCGAGTGGGGAGAAGAGCAAACCACTGACCACCTGCTGCAATGCACCCTGAGCCCTGCTGCATGCATGATGGAGAACCTCCTTGTGGCAACACCAGAAGCACTCCAAGGGGCCAGATCCTGGTCAAAGGACATTTAAACAACTACCAAAGTCACAAGTTTTGTATTTGTCTGTTTGTTTGCTTTGTTGTGTTAGAAATGTAATATAATGGACTGGTTGCTCTGACACGACAAATAAATAGCGTGGCAACCTGAGACAGCCTTCAACCACCTATCTCCGTAAATGTTCATTGACACAACCCTCATGTGGCAACCTTTCACAGTGTCAACGATATGCCCATACATTTTTCAGATAGACAACTCTTAAAGGCACAGGAGCCCTTTTTCCCTTCAGAATGGTCACTTGAGACTACCTTCAAAGGTTTGAGTGAACTTGGGCCCTGTAGGTGTTTTGGACTTCAACTCCCACCATTACTAACAGCCTACTACAGTTCCCAGAAGCCCCCAGCCTGCGAATGCAGGCTGGGGGCTTCTGGGAACTGTAGTAGGCTGTTAGGAATGCTGGGAGTTGAAGTCCAAAACACCTGCAGGGCCCAAATTTGGCCCAGGCCTGCTCTACCTGCATCCACACATCCCTTAAAGGCACAGGAGTCCTCTCTACTCTTTCCTTTGGCAACCTCCCTTGATGGGAAGCCAAGCATTTGTGGTTTTTGTGTTTTTCCCCTCAGGCCTCCCCTCAGGAAAGGCTTCTCCTGAGGTAAAAACACGAAATTAGACCGTTTGGGGGGTTTTTTCCCCTTGCCAGGCTTATACCGCGTCGAATCCGCTTCTACCCCGGGTATTTCCCCTTGAGGAGAAAGGGTTTATATATATATATATATTGATATATTGGTTTCCCGCGCGCGCCTCTTTCTACCTCGCCGCCTGCCCGCCGGCCGCCATCTTGGTTCTCCAGCCGGCTCACGTGACTTTCTCTCCTTAAGCCCCGCCCCCTCTCCCAAGACTTCTTTCATCCCGCGTCGGTTGGGAAGGAGAAAGGGACGACTGCGCATGCGTGGGAAATGGGAGGGAGGGACGACTGCGCATGCG